TTGTTGGTTCTCAGTCCAAAGAACACCCTTTAGCATTTTTCGTAAAGTTGGTCTTGTCATTACAAATTCCTTTAATTTCTGTTTATCAGGAAATGTCCAAATTTCGTTGTCATATTTGAGAAATAGCTTTGTGAATATATGATTCTTGGATGGCAATTTTTTTCTTTCAGAGTTTTATATATGTCATCCCATTGCCTTGTTGCCTGCATGGTTTCTACTGAGAAACCAGAATTTACTGGTTCTCCTTTGTAGGTAGCTTTCTGTTTTTCCCAAGCTGCTTTCAGGATTCTTTTCTTGTCTTTGGTTTTGGAAAGTTTGATTATGATATGTCTTAATTATTTTCTTTTGGGATCTATCCTGTTTACAATTTCTTCAGATTCTTGAATGGTTTTCTTCTCATCTTTTATCATGTTAGGGAAGTTTTCTTCCAACAACTCTTTGACAATTTTCTTTGTGCTTATTGTGACCTCTTCCTGTTCTGGAGTTCTGATCATCTGTAAGTTGTTCCTCTTCATGGTTTCCCACATAACTCTTTGACTTTCTGTAGACTTTTTCCTTGTGTTTTCTGAGTGTTCTTCTAGCATCATAATATTGAGAGATTTATCTTCAAGTTCACTAATTCGGGCTTCTATTGCTTTGAATCTACTCCTTTACCCTTTCAATGTATTCCCATTTCTTTAATCTTAGTATTAATCTTTTGGATTTCTAATTGCAGGCTTTGTATTATTTCAAAATTTGCATTTGTTTTGTGTGTTCATGTAGTGTGTTCCTGTGAATTCTTGTAAATTTTTTTTTGTGTGCTCCTTGCTTCCTCTTGGTCTTTCTATTAAACTTCAGAAGGTATCTAAATATCATTCTTTTGAATTACTTTCCTAATAGTTCCATTACCTTTTCTTCCTCAGAAACGTTTCCTGGCTCTGCATTTTGGTCTTTTGTTTGAGCCATTCTTTCTTGTTTCTTAGTGTAAGCTAAAATTGTCTGCTGTCTCCTGGACATTTTGTATTTAACTAATGGCTGTATGTTGATGTTTTCTTAGGCTCTCACCAGCTGTCTCCTATAAGTGTAGTTAGAAAATGGAAGCAGGTGCACCACTCTGGTTCGCCATTCCTGCACCTTATTTTAGGATGGGTTTGGTGAATTTGACGTGTGTCAACGTGTTTGTCATTGGTCAGGTGGTATAGGAAGGTGTGTGTATTTGCTCTTGCCCCATAGATAGCGCTGCACAGGGTAAGGTTGCTGTTGGCCTGTATGGTTATGGTTATAGTTGCTGTCTCTGGTCATGTGGAAAGAGAGAACCCCTTCTCCTCCACACACAAGGAAACAATTAAAGCAAGGAACATACAATGAAAAGAGAAAATAACGAAGAGAAAAAATAAAAACAGGCAGCAACCAGAAAAAAAGAGTATAAAG